TGGTCCTCTCTGTGCATTGGCTGCTCTGAGCAGGGATATCGTCCTCAAGGCTTGGTGGGCCAGGATGTGCTCCACTCTCTTTTCCTCCCCCTTCATTTGTTCCCGTGTGCTCTGATCAGACATGTCCCTCTCCTGAGCTGTAGCTTTACTGCTGTCCACCTAGTTAGGATTGGGGCTGGCCCCTCAGACCTCTCTTCTGGTTCCCTGCTTCATGCCGGTAATCATATAAACCTTTGTTAAATAAAAATAACAACATGCTAAACCATGAGTTATCAGTACATCCATCCTCCATCTCAGTATAGACTCTTCAGAGGGTGGTGTTTCCATCTCTCTAAGCCTTCCTCCAAAGTATCCTGCGCTCTCAGATTCACACCGTGTCAAAAGGGCAACTTGGGTAACCTCAAGTGACTCAAACCATGCTCCTTTGAAATGTTCTCTGAGCTTGGGGACCCAAAAAAAAGTCTGAAGGGGGGAGATCAGGGTTGTAAGGTGGATGGGTAAGGTTTCCAGAGAGATTCTCCCAGGACAGCTCCTGTTACCCTGAGCAGGAGCATTGTGGCAGTGGAAAAATATTCCTGGGTAAAAGTTTCCTGGTGTTCTCGGGGATGCAGTTTAAAATTTTCTGCAGCCTTCTTCATAATAAGCTCTCTTGATCCTCCAGTGTCCTTTGAGAAAATGCATCAAAATGCACCTTGAGATTCCATAAAAAGCACTTTCAGTACCTTCTGAACTGCCCTCTCTGCTTTGAACAGAACTGGTTCAGCTGAGCCCCTAGGACAGCGGTTCGCGACCTGTGGGTCTTAACTCCTTTGGGGGGGTCCAACGACCCTTTCACAGGGGTCGCCCAATTCATAACAGTAGCAAAATTAGAGTTATAAAGTAGCAACAAAAATAATTTTATGGTTAGGGGTTCACCACAACATGAGGAATTGTATGAAAGGGTCGCCATGGCATTGGGAAGGTTGAGAAGCACTGCCCTAGGAAGCCACTGTGTTGATTGAACTTGGTTCTTGGAAGGCACTCTCACAGTATGAACATGTGTTTGATGGAGAGAACTTGTCAGGTGCCATCCACTGATCGCAGAAGCAGGTTAAAACACGTTTTGATTGGCATCAACTTGTGTGTGTATAAATTCAAGCGCTAGGAGCAACATTTTGGACTTACCCTCATTCAGTATCTCCTATCAACCCCACTGCCATGCTGACTCACGGCTACTTTACAGGACAAAGCAAAACGGCCCCTCTGGGTTTTGGAGGCTGTAAATCCTTAAGGGAGCAGTTGGTCTCCTCTCTGTCCAGAGAAATGGCTGGTGGGTTCAAACTGTTGACCTTTCCGATGCCAGTGCAAGGCTGGGCCCCCTATACCACCAGGACTTCATTCCTACTGTTGGTAGTAGGTGGTAACAGTACTCATAATATAAAGCCACCAATAAAAACAAAGAACAAAACCCAGAAGCTCCCTTTGACCTATAGGTACTGGGATTGTTTGTTACAAATTGGAGGAAAGCCAATGAAAAGAAGGGGTGATCTGAAAAGACAAACATACAATGTAATCATTTGATTTTCATTTAAACCCTGTGTAAGCAACTTGCTTCCCTATGCCCCCTTTGAGTCTGGATCTGCTGTTTGAGGTTTGGGGTTATTATCGTGTATTGCTCTAATTGCAATTTCACTTCCTTCAAAGTGCAGGGAGAACTTGAACACAAATCAAACTGCTGCAGTGTGAGCTTCTTTGCAACTTTTATCATTTCCTCTAAGACTGTATAATATGCCTGGTTCTCCGACTTGACAGGCAATTTCTGAAAGACCTCTCTTTTCTCCTTTCTCAGAGCATTCAACTTAATTTTTGTAGAACATGGCTCCTCCATTTCCCAGAATTATACAAAACAAATCTTCCCACCATAAACAAGCTTCGGAGCAAATACAGCGGGAGTACCAGTAAGTAAACAATCGGACTTGTGGGAATAAACGTGTCCAAGAATTACACTGGCGGCACCGTGGGCACCCAGTCAGTGTATTTTCGGAATGAAACGGAAGCACTCGATCTAGCTGGTGGGTCAACTATATAGATCTCAGCTAAGAGCATTGACCATAGTACACCAGCTACCCTGTCCCATGTGTACAAGCTACTTTGTATTTTCCTTTCATCACAAGAGCTAGACTGTTTTGTTTTGCTGTGGTTATGTGCGTGGATTTCAACTTGAGCGCCCCGACAGAACAATGTAGAATTAACTACTTCCTAAGGTTTCCAAGGGTGCAATCTTTATTGGGGCACAAGGCCAGGGCTTTTCTCTTTGGCATAGCTGGTGGATTTGAACCGACAACAGAGCACTTAAACATCATGTCTCCAGGGCCTTGTAAGGCATTTTGAGAAGATGGAAGTCAACAGAGAGTGGAATTTGAGAACATGAAAACGAAGCCACAGAACAGGAATGCTGAGATTTGCAAAGTAAATGATAAAAGAATCAGAGCATTTGACGACCGATAATAACAGAAACTGTTCACTACTAGACTTTTAAACAATGACCACAGGACTAAATTCATTTTGCAAATTCGGTGCTCCATCTTTAAAATACCTTCATGACAGCATGAAAAAGCAGCGCTGAGTATTATAAGTCAGTATCAGTGTTTCATATCGATTTAAACACATTCAGTTGCTCTGTACTCTTTTTAGAATCATACAATAGAGAGAAGGAGAGAAAGGCTGTAAGAGAGAGAGAGAAGATGCGAGAACTTACGTATTTCACTGGAAACTTGATTCAGTTTATCCTGTGATCTGCTGATAAGGACAACTTTCATTCCTCGTTTGGCCATCTAAAACAATAGAAGAGACAACAAACAGTTCAACCCCCTGTGTCATCTCGTTTTAAAACAGAAGGAGGGCTATTCGTCATTTTAAGGAAACACACCCATATGATCAAGCAAATCAATAAAACAAATGAGCCCAGGTGGCAGGAAAGAGTGGTCAAACCGAGCACTTGACAAACAGACCCGCCCTGGAGTCCAATCCGGCTAGCAGTTTAACGTCCGGGCCTGTCGGAAGAGAGAGAGTTTGACTTTTCATTTTGAACCTGTCTATATGATTTGCATGATTTAGATCTGGTCTATCACTTCTGTCACTTACAAATTAGTTTTACAAAGTGTTTGTTTCAGTTCATGTACATGAACAAACAGCAGAGGAATTGGCCAAGAAAACCACAGTTAAAATGTTAGGAATTCCTAAAAAACACAGCAATTAAGAACAATTTTTTTTTTAGGAGTTATGGATGACTAAGATACAGTGAAGTAGTTAATTAAAGAAATTCGTAGTTTCCAGAACACCATCTATGTATATATATGATATTGCACTGGTACTATGTAGGATGAAAGTTGTCCTTACCCCCAGAGATGCATAAATGCAGGGGTAGAGATGAAAACACAACTATACCCCAAGCTTTTCAGTAAACTACAGCCAAAGAGAATATAAATGAGGGCTAGACTAGGTGTTGAACTACAAGGATTGAACTACAAGGATCCACCGGGTCAGTTCTGACTCAATTCAACTCTACTTAGAACAGAATGAACCACTCCCCAGGCCTGTGCCATCCTCATAATTGTTCTCATGTTTGAGCCCATTCTTGAAGCCACTGGGCCAATCCATTTTTCCCAGGGCCTTCCTTTATTTTCGTTGCCCCTCCATTGTTACCAACATGATGTCCTTCTTCAAGGACTGGTGTCTCCTGACAACATGTCCAAAGTATGTAAGAAGTCTCACCATCCTTGCCTCTAAGGAGCATGCTGATTATACGTCTTCCTAGACAAAGGATTGGTAAGCTAATGTTCTCGTCTTAAATCCGGAAGTTAGCTTCACTAGTTAATGAATGATATTGCAAGTAATAAAAAATGTGGGAGAAAAAAATTTTTTTAGTAAGACCGGTCATGATTTGCTAATCAAACTGCTATACAACCACTACAGAAGCTACTAGTTCGTACTGATACATAATTTTTAAAATAACAGGAGAAGGCATGAAAAGCTCTTACTTATGGCCAAATACCATCTAATAAATGTAGCAAGAAAAATAGCTGTGTTAGGCCAGGCTGACTAGAGAAAAAAATTCAGTGATACTCAAATATGTATTAGAGAGAGTTTTACATCAAGAGGTCATAATAGACAACACTGGAGACACAGTGAGGGAATTGTGCCTGATCTGACCCCATCACACTGGGGTGAAACGCTAAGGTTATGCAACAGAGCAGCAAGGGGAGCAAAGCAATTAGATCCCCAGGGAATACCAGAAATAGACTTTGGGACTAGGGTATGGCACCCCATCAGATTTGACTGGAAAACACTCCTTAAGGTCAACAAACAGACCTGAACTATATATAGACTATTCTTTTTTTTTTGTTGTCGTTGTTGTTTTGCTCTGTCTTGTTTTTGTGCTTATTATTCACTGCATCTCTATCTAGATAAGACAGTCAGGATAAACAATCCAGAGGAGAAAACAACGGGACCAACGGTTCTGGGGGGACACTGGGGAGGAGGAGGTGGGGCAAATGAAGAGGGGTGTCAACCAACCCAGGGACAAGGGAATAACAAGTGATCTAAAATCAATGGCAAGGCGGGTATAGGATGTCTGGTGGTGCTTGATCAAGGGCAGGGTAGCCAAGAGCAATTACAGAAACCCAAATGAAGGCCAAACATGATAGTGGGGCAAGAGGAAAGTAAATGGAAAGAGAGGAAAGAACTAGAAAGCAATGGCCATTTATAGAGGTCTAAATACAGACATTTACGTATGTAAATATATTTATGTATAACATAGGGCAATAGATCTATGTACATATATGTATATGTTAAATATTAAGGTAGCAGATGGACATTGCGGCTCCACTCAAGTACTCCCTCAATGCAAGATAAGTTTGTTCTAATAATCCAGCATTCTGTGATGCTCACCTTGCCGGCATGATTACTGAAAACAAAATGGGTTCATAAGCAAATGTGGTGAAGAAAGCTGATGGTGCCCAGCTATCAAAAGATAGAGCGTCTAGGGTCTTAAAGACTTGAAGTTTAATAAGTGGCCATCTAGCTCAGAAGCAACAAAGTCCACATGGAGGAAGCACACCAGCCTGTGTGATCATGAAGTCTATGGCATCAGGTATCAGCCATCAAAGACCCAGAACAAAAAAAGCATTTCAATATGAAGGAGGGGGAGCATTGGGTGGAGACCCAAAGCCCCTCTATAGACAATTGGACATCCCCAGAAGAGTCACAAGGAAAAGACAAGCCAGTCAGGGTGCAGTATAGCACCGATGAAACACACAACTTTCCACTAGTTCTTTAATGCCTCCTCCGCACAAACTATCATAACCTCAATTCTACTTTATAAATCTGGCTAGACCAGAGCATGTACACTGCTACAGATAAGAGCTGGAAACACAGAGAATCCAGGACACATAAACTCCTCAGGACCAATAATGAGAATAGAGATACCAAGAAGTGTAAAGGGAAGGGGGGGAGGGGGGTACTGATCACAATGATCTACATATAACCCCTTCCTAGGGGGATGGACAACAGAAAAACGGATGAAGGGGGACAGTGGTTGGTGTATGACATGGGGAGGGGGGTAAATTATAAATTATCAAGGATTCATCAAGGAGTGGGTGTGGAAAATGAGGAGCTGATACCAAGGGCTCAAGTAGAAAGAAAATGTTTTGAAAATGATGATGGCAACAAATGTACAAATGTACTTGACACAATGGATGGATGGATTGTGATAAGTAAGAGCTGTAAGGGCCCCCAATAAAATGATTTAACTTGAAAAGGTGGTAATTATATACCAAGTAAACATTACATCACGGTCCAAATCACGTCCATAAGTCCAATATTAGTCCATAAGTCCCTCTTCAGACTCACGCAGCCACATGCAATGATGCAAAATGGAGGAAGATCACAGGCCAGTGGCTGAAAAGTCTTGTGGACCCAATGGCAGTGGAAGTATCACGGGGCTCCCAGCATAGCTCTTCAAAAGTACCGTGAAGGTGGTGATAGAGGGGGAGGTTCCCAGAATGCTTCTATTGAGAAGGCCACACCCATAAGGAGGTACTATCAGGCTGTGACCTGATTAACAGGCTAGCCTCCATTCCTACATTCTATTCAAGTTAACATGAAATTGTGTAACTACAACAATAGCATTAGTCAATCTCCATTTCTCACAGCACCATGGTCATAAGTTAATTTAGGCAACAATTGTCCATGGGTATTATAATCATTTAATGAAATATTGTCAGGAAACAGGAGATTCATGCAGTCTGAAAGTAGCATTCTACGATTTCTTATTAAAACAAAGGAGAAAAGGTACTACACCTTTATAATGGACAGTTATAGTGCATAATATCTTAATAAAGAATTAATCTTAATATCACAATGGAGCAAATAAGATTCTTGTGTTTCTTGATATCTGTTACAAAATCTTTAATCTAAATTGAATCATGAGAAAACAATTACACAAATCCAAATAAGGAAACTTTCGGTAGAACTGGTCTGTATTTCCCAAAACCTGTCATAAAAGGGTGTGTGGTGGTTGGGGACTGGGGCAAGGAGTGTGAGTGAAGAGGCTACGTAACTAAATGAATCTAAAAGACATGACACTCCTAGGACATGTATACTTCTTTAAATGCTGGAACAACAAAGTCTTAAAAGGTATTACTGAGGCCCCTTGAAAAATCTGTATATTGGCTGTATGTTAACGTAACACATTCATGTTCTAAACCAGTTGCCAGGGTGTTGGTTCTGACTCATGGCCACCTCCTGTGTGTCAGAGCAGAATCGTGCTCCACAGGGTTTGCAATAGCTGACTTTTCAAAAACAGATCACCAGTCCTTTCTTCTGAGCCACCTCTGGGTAGACGCAAGCCAGCCAAGCATAAGAACTGCCTACACCACCCTGTGAAATGACCTAGGTGGGACCCTTGCATTAGGGTTATCACAGTGAATGCTCTTGTTTTTAGAAGATCCCTGTTTGGACAGGGGTTAATTGTCATGTATGTACCTCACTCAACAATGTTCCACCGACATAGGGGTGTGGTAATAATTAAAAGTTGAAGGTTAAGCACCTGAGGAATCCTGATGAAGGGCGTATAGGTGGGCTTTGCATTCTTCTTGCAACTCTGCTGTTGTTTTGGCACTTGTCAGAGTAGAAAGCTGAGAAAACAAAGGATTCAAGCTACTCTGGAAACCTAGCCACTGTATCATGAGAGTTTTAGCTTTTGGAAATTAATTCAAAACTATTTTAGAACCGAGGACTATCTGCAATTACCCGGGATATATAAACTTACACTAAAGTCTTCACAATTCCCATCTACTAAGACAGAAAGCTTTACTCACTTAATTTGCACTGAAATTTGTTTTAAAAAAATTAAATAAATCTGGTATTTGTGGCAAGGTAGAAGATCTACCGTACTATAGAACATTAAATTTGTGAGCACTTCTGGGAAGATGGCAATGGAGTGAAACATACCAGAGGGACTCTGCAGAATCCAGCCAAGGAGAGTTGCTTAGAGGGAAATTCAACGCTGCTAGAACGCAGGAGGAACATCATAAAGATAAGTCGGCACGGGGTTTTGAGGGGCTGGGGTCTTTTGGCTTACCTCAGTGAAAGCCAGCTGGGGCTTGACCTTGGCCCTGC